AAACATGTCGTGTGCAGTAGATTTTTGGGACTGTCTGCAACTCTGGCTGGCATTCACGCTTATTAATGCGTATTTGATGAAAAAGGTGAAAATCTTTTCAATAACTTTTCTCTTCGATAGATATACAGAATACAGACTGACTGTTTTCTAATACTTCGGAATTTCGATATACATTTAATTCGCTAATCATTTGTCATAAGAATATGCAAGGTTTCATTGCCTTGGTAACGTAACAAACGAAATGTATTGTTAATTTCTTTTGTCGAGTCTCATTGATCATTGTCGTGTCGAAAAATCATTAAAACGAGATATCTCGTAAACTGAAACGTGCAAATAATTACATTAACTTACAGTTATGGAATCTCCTGAAGCAGGTATGTAGCGTAGTACAATAATTGAACCTTTATTTTAGTTACCTTTTGGGTAATTTCACACCAAATCGATCACTTTGTTTATCGATGTTTCGGATTTTGTTCTAAATGATATATATTGTAGTGAATCTAATCTCTCGGAGACGCTTAGTGGACCTCATGTTGGACAGAGAAGATTTACAATTTTCTGACAAATTGGAGTATATTGAAAGTTACATTACAACCTATGATAATTATTCCAGTGAACAAGTCCAGGACATTAGGAAGAGATTTTCATATATTAAGTCTGAACTGAAACGAAGATGGTCGGAAGCTTAAAACACAAAAGATAGATTTTACAAAAAGAACAACAACTGGTTAAATGGAACATTTGAATTACCAGTGGTTACAGTACGATCTGGTCGGCCATCAAAATCATTCGAGGAATCAAGTGATAGAACAAAGAGGAGGAAAACGGCAGTCCTTCGAAGCACTACAAATACGGATGAATTAGTTTCTTCTGCTCAAATGAAATTGCAATCTTCAGGAAAAAGAAGTGCTTCGACAATATTGAAAGAAATTACTAATTCTCCTGAACGAGCAAAAAAGTATAAAACTGCTTATTCAATATTCCAGCACAGATCTAATGAAACATTGCAATTGTCGTCATTAAAAGCCTTGTCAATGTTTGTTGAAGCTGGTCTATCAAAACACCAATATTTAATTATCAGAAAGTCAAATCATTTATTCTATCCATCGTATAACAAATTACTAAAGGAAAAACTGAATTGCTACCCACAGAAAGAATCGTACCAAGTGACGTCCACATGTGCTGAAGTAAATCTTCAAGACTTGCTCAATCATACCGCCACCCGGTTGTTAACATATTTAGAACATGTTTTGATAAATCTAGATGAAGACGAGTGCAAATCATTGTCTTTAATATCAAAGTGGGGTTGTGATGGATCACAACAAAGTCATTTCAAACAGGCATTTGACAATGAATTCGAATCTGATGAAAATATATTTCAATCTTCATTTGTACCTCTACAATTGAATTGTGCTTTAAATGGTAAGAAACTTGTATGGCAAAATCCAACACCTTCGTCTCCACGCTATTGTCGCCCTATCAGAATTAGATTCGTAAAAGAGACATTTGATGTAATAACAAGCGAAATTGATTACATACGTAATGCAATAAATTCACTACAACCCACGAAATTGACACTTTTCGGAAGAGATTTTTCAATCCAACACAAAATGATTTTAACCATGGTTGATGGTAAAATATGCAATGCCATCACTCAAACATTGTCCACACGAAGGTGTTATATTTGCGGAGCAACGTCAACCGAATTCAATGATTTGACGAAACTGCAAGTGAAGGATATAAATCCAGATTCATTAGAATTCGGTTTATCCATTTTGCACGCTAGGATTCGATTATTTGAAAGCTTACTACATTTATCATACAAAGTTACCGTTAAAAAATGGATTATACGTAAGACAGATGTTCAACAAAAAAAAATAATTGAAGACCGTAAATTGAACATACAGAAAGAATTTAAAAGTAAACTAGGTTTACTCGTTGATATTCCAAAACCAGGATGTGGAAATACTAATAATGGCAATACTAGCAGAAAATTCTTTGCCAATCCTGATTTGTGTGCTGAAATAACGGGATTAGACCGTGATTTGATATACCGTTTTGCAGTAATTTTAGAATTAATTTCAAGTGGTCATAAAATAAATACCAAAAAATTCGATACATACACTCTAGATACTGCAAAATTATATATAAATTTGTATTCTTGGTATCCGATGACACCAACCATGCATAAGATTCTTCTTCACGGTTCAATTATAATTGAACACGCTTTACTGCCGATTGGTCAGTTATCGGAGGAAGCAGCTGAAGCTCGCAACAAACATTTTAGACTATATAGGCAAAATTATTCAAGAAAATTTTCCAGAGAATCATGTAACCTAGACGTAATTAACAGATTACTTTTAACATCAGACCCACTATTAACTGGTATACGAAAGATGCCGAGAAAAAGGACAAAGCAATTTCTGAAGGAGACTATTGAAATGTTCCTTCCAGCAGAAACTCCACGTACTGCAGAAGATTCTTCATCTGATGAACAACTTTCGGACGGAGATTTATAAACATGATCAAGTACCCTTATAATTGAAAAAAATGTACTATTTAAATATTAAAAATAGTTTTAATATTAAAATTTTGTACTAGTTTTTATTGGTTATTTCAACAATTTATTTTTTTGTTTCATTTGATTAACATAATTCCTGTTTAACACATAAAAAAATAATTTTTTTGAAGGAAAACTGTATAAGGCATTATTGGGAAGCATCCTAAACCTATTAAGCATCATAAATAATTTTGGCCAGCCAAATCGGTAAATTGGACCACTGTGCGACGGTGCATATGGACGGCTGTTTTACGGTTATGCGAGTGGGGTGTTTGATCCGTCGGAAATCGAGCGTTTGTTTGATTTCAACCGAGCTTTGCTTTAAATTATTTTACCGCGGACGAAGGAAAATTAACATCTTAACGGCGAACGGGAACATAAATTTCGCTGTAATATCGAACTTCGAATGAAGTTAAATTTCTTGCAAAACTGCCAATGCAATGGTAATAGAAAATGTTTGCAGCGAAAAGAGCAGTTCTTGCCGAGTTTCGAAAGTTTCAAGCCGCTATCGCGAATAATGTGGTAGTACAAGTTGAATTGTTGAACGAGACTTTCAATGGGCTCCGATTTTTATCGCGTCTGTCATCGACTGCCAATTGATTGCTGTCGATTAACAGCAACCTTTCCTTTCGAATTTCGCTTTGATTTGCCGAACGACTGTACGCGTCATGAACGAAAGTTTCCAGTCGACACCGTTTGCATGAAAATTACTGCCCAAATATTTTTCTACTAGCCATTAACAATAATTGATTCATTTTTATGTAAATTGAAAGCCATCAAAATAATATAAGTATTGAAAGCAAATAAACTTTAGCAAATCGTGATAAAAATCGATAAACGTCAACGCATAAAATTGAATTAAAATTATAAAAAATATAAGTACCTGAGTAACTATCATTCGCTTTAAATTCGCGTCGACTCTTACAAATGGCCAACCCCTCTTAACCCAATATACCTGTCGTCGAATGCTAAGAATAGTAGATACATGTTTCTTCTCCAAATACTTTTCACGTCTCTCCGTTTATCCGACGAGCTTCATCGAAAATACAACGATTCCCTGCCCGTGAATCGATACTAAAACGATTCACGGTTCGTTCGCCATTCACGATATCCGATTCGATACTTTCCGATCGTCGGAATAAAACGCTTGAATCACGCGTCAAAAATAAACTCCCTGTACCGTGGCTCCATAAAATATTCGAAAACCGTGTCCTTTCGCTATAAGTTTCTGTTCCGTTACCTCGAGCTCTTACCAGGTTTTTTCAGATCAAAAATTACTTCAACAAATTTAGCATCATTAGTCATTGCTGAAATTTTTTATTTGTCAAATGGTTTAGTAATTTATAATTTTCAACGAATGAGCTAGAAACAACGGTTACAGCCGTTTTATCCATCAAAAGGATTAACAAATTCCGTAACGAGCAACAAGTAAATCGTTCGTATCGCACTTTTCCACCTTTTCCTCTTTAATCCGTCGCGATTGGCGCGTTTCGAGTAGCCACGCCGGCTTAATTTGAATAGAAATAACGAGCGAAGCCAAGTCGAGCGTAAGAACGGCCGTCGAAACGGTTTCACTGGATGCCGCGGCTTTTTTAAATAGCTTTTCCAGGGGACCGTTCAACCAGGACCCAGCGGGAGTTCGTCTGGCCAGATAACGTCCGCCTCCTAATTTCGTCCAAGTCTTTCGGAAAAAACGACTCTGGTTCGACTAGCTCCGTTCGCTGGACTGTGACACGGTATACTGTAGTGTACCACGAGGCCGAAAGAAATTGCGGAGGACGTGTAACCAGAGTCGACGGACAACGAGTCGGTCGACACGCCTCTTCGACCGCGAATTTTTCTCTCTTTCCTGGGAAACTCTCGCTATCCATACGACAAACCCGTCCACGAGAGGCCCTGCACCTTCAGGGCGCCACAGTTTGCTCCGAAGCTAAACAGCTCGGGGCAACGATGACAGAAGCGGTAACACGAGTAAAGAATGCCGCTTATTCTCTTCTCGTTTGCTCTCTTTACTCACTCAATTAGACGCGTTCTTGCTCTTCAACATTTGAAAATCAAATTGATTTCTTCTCTGCTGTACTCGAAGAACTCCAAAATAGCTCACAGTATGAATGAAATGAAATAACTTTAAATCGGTTTTTCATTCGAATCGATCGCAATATTGATACGTTTCTACAAGCGACAAAAGTGCTGCCACGAGGGTAAACTTTCGAGCGATATCGAAGCTAACGATAGGGAACAACGAAACTCACTCTTCGGCGATGATCCACGAAAATCCACGGCGCCGCTTCGAACGTTTCAATTCGTACGCGTATCCAGTCGAGTGACACTTGAACCCACTGCACTGACAAACACTCGGTATGACCCTTTGGTGCAGTCGCAAGTTCGTCGCACCCTGTTTGCACACGATCTTCCTTCGGTCGCGCACTATTATTATTTCTTTTTTTTTTTTTTATTCAACGAGCTTCAAGCTATCTACACTCGTCGCTTCGAATCGGAGAATCGGCAAAGATCAGTTCGATAAATTGTACGCGATAAGCGCGGTCCGCTCGATCCGCGTACATTTCAATCGAGGAAGCGGTGCGCACGCCACGATCGCGTTTTTCGAATAGCACCCTTAACGAGCGTACAGACACCGGGAGCCCCAACGCGCGCGGCTCATGTCGGCCAACTGACTCGGAGCGCAGAAACCTCGGGGCCCTTCGCCTCTTGGGCGCCGCTGCTGGCTTGCCATGGTGGTGGTGCTGCTGCTGGTGGTGGTGGAGACGCCGTCGGTGGTGGTGGTTGCGGAAACGTGGTGGTGGCAGTAGCGGCGGCGGAGACGAGTCGGTGGAGGCGCTATGGACCCGCTCGGTCGAGACTCGAAGTTCGAGTACGCTGGTGGGAGTTCGATGCTGGAGCTCCATTCGAACTCCAACTCCGCTCGGAGTGCAGCACGAGCTGTCGGGAGGAACGGATCGCTTCTGTTGGCGTAGGTACAGCGACGACTGATACGTATGAATTTGCAGGCTACGGGACGAGCAGAAGAGATTCACTGCCCTAACATTTTTTCTTACATTTTTTTCCATGGTGTTTGCTTTTATTCGTCTGAGGGCACTTGGGGCTTCGGATGAGTCGGTCGTGTGGGAGGAGATTGTATTTTTGGAGCAGCTTGTCTGTTGAGCCTTTTTGGTCCTGCTGGATGCAGATTGCGTGGACGTAGAAATTCTTCGTATTGTGGAAAATGTGAATTTTAAAGGATCGATATTTGATACCAAATTTATTTATATATTGTTTACTAACTTAACTTCAACTGTATGCTAAAGTACACCCCTCGAGAAGTTAACCCACTCGCTTCCATAAGGTCAGAGCGGCCTGTTCGCGTACCCTCGATAAAAAGCGTACAGGAAATCAGAGACTCTTCCTCGTTGCCAAGTCGCCAAGTCGCCGCAGCGTTCGCGTTTCGTCCGGTGCATAAATTTGTTTCTTCACCAAATAAATACGCCGACCGGCCATTTATTTACGGCCTCGCCGTTCCCTCTGACCCGCGAATCCACCCTCCTCCGCTCCTCTTCTCGCTGCTCTCCCAGCCAGGACTTGTCGTTTGCGCTAACGTTCGCCCGGATAAATAAATATTGACCGTCGAGGCAGGCACCGCAAACAAATCCATTAATAACAGGAATTTAACCCCGTTGCGGAGGTGAACAGGCGGCCGGGTACACGTTCGTCGCGTATTTAGTCGTAGCCGAGGCTCGGCTCGATTGTCCCTGGCCAACGCCGATTCGGCGTTGTCGGTGTCAATTTATATCTGCGGGTAGATTCGCTGTTACGCTAGAATACGCTAGAATAATTTAATAACGTTCGACTAACGGCTCGTCGTTCTCTCCCTGTCCATTCCACCCCTCTCGGTGGGTCGCGTTTGGTCTTCCTCTTTCAACCCTAGAAACTCGTCGTTCAATCGTATCGAGAGAGACAATAACGAACGGTGTCGCGCAATTAGCAGTTGTAATCAAATATGTGACAGCAGGGGGTTGGTTAATATCGATGGGTACAATTTCGTGACATCGTCGTCTCGTTAGCGACCGTGCAAACAATTAGAAACTGTAACCTTTTCTTCCTCGCTCTGGTACACGATGATTTCGCGGAATCAGACCGCTCGATGGAAAGGGTTGATTGATCGGATGATAATGGTGTCGATAGACGATTCGAACACACGGAAGGTCTAACATCAAGTTTGAAAAAATTGTATCAAAGGTATCCCGATCCATTTGAAGTTCACGTTTAATGTGCGGGAATAAAAGAAAAATGGAAAATACTAGACAGTGCGTCATCCACCTTCAGCCAGGTCAGCACACCACGCAACAATGATCCGCACGCGACGCCACTCGTTCGAAGAATTGATCAGCGTACAAATACACGGGGCAGAATAAACTGTATAACCTCGTGCACGTACCCAAGACGACGGCACGTCCCTATCACGTATCTATTAGTCGTGACGGAAGACGGTCGGGCCAGACAATAGGGGGTTGGAACCGCCTCGACAAAAATTCTACCCTTCCCAAGGGCCCCACCGCGCCGCTTCGCCTCTGTTCCGAGCACGGAGACCGCTCGTCGAACCAAGAAGATGATCGTCTCGTAATCCTATATAAACACGGTTATTTTTATCCCATTACAGGGCGGTTCCGTAACGGCCTGTACAACACGGGGCCTGCATAATGCCATGTTCGGCCTAGCGTACCATTTCTAAAGGAGACCGACCAGGAGGGATGACCGCAGGATCCCGAGGGGTACACCGTGCCACACCCCCTCTTCTTCGGTACCCTTAACCGGTGATGGATATTCGAAATACCCTTTTGCAACTCTTCGAAAAATTTTATTCGAACTCTATAAATTTTCAAGTCTCGAAAATATTAAAATCTTGATTTTATCGAAATTCTTCAAAGTCAAAAATGATTCGAAATTTTCTCTATGTGTACATACATTTATATTCGTAGCGTTTCGTGTTCCGTCGCTACCCTCGAGCTGGTGCGCAGCAGGGGGCACCGTGCACGCTCCATGATGCAACCCTCGTTGGGTCTGCATCGGTAACATTCCAAGAGGGCCTGCATTTTCCTTCGATCATCCTTGAAAGGAATCGAGAAGACGTTTCCTTCGGGAACACCGTGCAGGTCGATGAATTTTAGAAATTTTCTGAACGGGTTTTGGGACTCGAATCATATGCCGTGAATTGTGAGGAATTTAAGTTTCTTAATCGACGATGGAAAGTGTGATTGAATGGGAAGCGGTCGTGTAGCGATGTTTATTGGTGAGAGGGTTGTTTCCACTTCACTGAGAATTCGTTTTATTCGGGGACAGTTTTTGGTGGAGGAGAAACGAGTGGGGGTTTCTTTGATCTTCGCCATGCCGCCCTCTTCGAGAGTCTATAGATCTTGAAACGATGCGGGTCCAGCGGTGAACATCGGGACGGTCAACGTGGACAAACACGTGTCGCGCACTCGCTTACAAAATTCTATGGTGCACGTGAAGCCATGGGGCTGCTTTGGAAGCTCGTTTTCGAATCTCTGTTGCGTTAACGACATGCTGCATCACGTAGTCTTGCAATGGGAGGAGAATCGTTCGAAATCTGCTCTAAATGTTGAAAATCTGTGCACCAATGAATCGAGAGAACCTTTCACGAAGGTTGTTCGTTTATTGGAAATTTCGAAAGGGACGCATCTTTGCGGAATCCTCGGTTTGGAGCATATTTTTTCGTAGATCCTTTAAAAGGAAAATCTTGTAGGCTCGATTCCTTTCGCTAGGACATCGACGGAAGTCGGAAACAATTCTCCGTTTCCAGGTCATTCTCTGTGTCGAAAATCGATCAGAGTTTTTGGCACAGAAACAGTAGGTTTTAAAATTATTTCAAGTAAAAATTTGACGAAACCCTTAAGGGTTGTATACTTTATCGAAAATTGATTGTGCCTTAGAAGAGAAAAAGGATTCTCAGAGGTTCTAAGAATGGTTAAAACGTAAGAGGTAATCGAAATTTTCTCACAACTCGTCGAAAAATGAAATACAAACACTTCACCAGGTAGAGGTCCCTTGAGTTTTCTGTGAAAATTTCTGTTTTACTCGAGGCGCCGATTCGATTACTTTTCCAACAACGCTTTCTCGACCATGGCCCCCAAACGTATCTACCTTACCATTATACTTCGAAGCACCTCGCATTAGTCCACTTCAAGATCAAAGTGGCCGATTTTCTGCGCAGAGATAGTCCTAATTGACTCACCGCGTTAGCGATAACCTTTGCAGCCTCCTCCGAAATTCCTTTCTCGAAATCAACAAATCCCTCGCGGTCCATACATCACCGTGATGGGTAAACTTAAGATAAAACGAACTATAATTAACCAAATGCACAGCAAAGTAAATGGCATCCGGTTTCTTCGGTGAAATTATACGAAAATATCCAAGATAAGTTTCTTTCCTATCGTATCCTTAATAATTACCATGATATTTTATTGTACTCCGTATGCTTGTTTTCGCTAAGTGTCTTTGGAAATAAACTGAGAACACGGGACGAGCAGAAAGTCTGTTTCACTTCCGAAATAACGCGATTTCGCGTAACGCGAGACGAACGATCAATCACGGGTCTCCGCGGCGGGAAAAACTCCGGGACGGAGAAAAAGCTTCGGTGAACGATGCGAGTCACCGATGAAATTGCGAGGTCGCATCGAGAAAATCGATGTACGACGAGCGGTCGTATTTTTTACACACCACGTCAGCGGTTCCATTAATTTTCCAGGGGAAAAATCGACGTTGCCTGTCTAGAGTTACGACGCGAGCCTCGTCTCGAGTAGGCCACCGGTGAAATCCGAGACTGTCCCATTTCTCGCGAGGAAAGGGACACCGGAGGCTGGATTAAAAGGAAAAGAAAGGAGGAAAACGTACGAGAAGGGTGAAAGTAAGGAACGCGTCTCGAGGGCTTCCTTCAGATATCGAAAGAGGGATAATGTATGTAGATTTAACAATTTGGGAAATTGAGTTCGTTGAAAGAAAGCATTATAGCGAATTGATGGTATTAGAAACTGTGATGAGCAACCTCCTCCATCCCGAGGACTTCAATTGGAAACCTAATAGTATTTGATGGGCAGCGAGTAAAAAACCAATTAGAAATTTATTAAGCTATTTATTGTCTAATTCCATATAAATTTTAGATAGCATATCGCGTTTTAATTCCATTCGACTATAATTTATCACTGCATAAAGTACCAGGTGCATGGTTTATCTCGATCGTATTCGAAAACAGTCTTTATCATAATTCAGTCGAGATAAACCAGAAATGATCCTTATTTATTCAATTAATTTGCAACGTTATCTTTAAACTATCCAGCTAAGTAAATCACACAGTAAGAGGATCAAAAACTTGTATCTCAATGAATCGAACGAACTCGAATAATACTATTTTATTTTTCTTTTCAAACAGGCTTATTCATGGACGTATCCGAGCCTCGATCGTCCGACGATGAATCCTGCGACTGTTCGGATTGACTCTTTTATCTCGACGGCCGAATCTCCCATGGACCCATGGCTCCTAAAACAAATGAATCCACTCGGAGCGAACCGGATGAACAGGTAAGCGCGTTCGATCGGCCGATGCTCGTCTCGCCTCCATGGTTCCAGCTTGCTAATAGTACTTAATGGAATCGATAAGTTGTAGGACAAATCTGTGGTATCCCCCTGGCATAAAAGTCGCGTCAGTCGTAAATTTGAACGGCAAGGTATCGAACGATTTTCTCGGATCGCGTTCCATGGGGTATTCCCACATTATGTAAGAGCGGAAAAAGATAGGTCGACTCTTCTTGTTCTCTCCTCGTTTCTTCTCTTTTTATGGCTACCGTTGCCCTTTTACGATCGTCTACGCGCTGTTTTTATGGGTAATAAGATTATTTCTGTTCGAACGAACCCGTCTTTCGACGTTGAAAAAACATGAAAACGTCTTAGGAAAGCCGGCACACGTACCGCATTTTCTTCTTCCTATAATATCGTTGAAAACCGTCATGGTTTCTGCTCGTCCACGCGAGAGAGACTCTAGGATGGATGAGACAGGTTCGGTAATCGAGTGGGATACGCGTATGTTTACCCATCGCTTTCTGGGTAAACCAACAGAGACGTATTAGCATAGTTGATGCGATGCCTACGGTATAACAGATAGGAGAAATCTTTGCAATTTCATCTTCAATGCGTTTTTCGGTGGGTAATTAGAAACCGGGTAATGGAGTTCTCCTCAAGGTTGATTCCAGCTAATTCCTCGATAGCCTAACAGAGGCTGAATGCAACAAACCACTCGGCACAAAGCTGAATAGCCGTTGCTCGGTGCATTGGCATCTGGGATAAAGACGAATACAACGACGAATCGGAAACTCCCTCGTTATTCCCGGTCGATGGAATCGGCGGTGAATAGTACTGGCAAAGGCTTCGAACGGTCGTCGCGACGCATTGAAATGCATAGGAACGCGATCGCGGGGTAGCGACGCATTCACGATTGCATAAGTGGCGTAACGGGCTTATAAAGCCTGTTGCACGCAACACGTATCCCGCAACGAGAGAGCAGAGATCGCCGAGAGTGCCTACTCGAGTTACTCGCGCCACTCGCTCGCATTCGCTCTCTCTCCTTCGCAATTGTGTCACCCCGTTGTCGTGGCTTGGCCACCCCTGTGCCACTAGCAGCAGGGTTACGATTCATAAACTGCCGTGTAATAACGCGACGCTGTTGCTCCGCGGGTTGGCACGAGGTTTTTTCGAAATCGACCGGCTGCGAGCGTCTACGACTCGCTGCACCCTAATTTTCCTGCGAGCGTTTATTGTGCGGCTCTCGATCGCCCCGGGAAACCTGGACGAACTCGCGTTACCTCGAGATCGTTTAGAACTTGAAAATCGAGTGGGCATATGGCCTCGCGATCGGAACAGACAATACGGTTTTGTCGCTGTTTAAAAGTAGTACAAGATAAGGGATTCGATGCGTTATATTTTGGAAGAGAAATTATAAAATCACTCTTTGTTAATTTAAGTTTCCTTTATTTAGAAGCTTCAGTAATGTACACTGTAAAATTAGCAATTATTACATGTCGAACTTATTCTAGAATAACCGTAGTTTCCAATGGCACTCCGTGTGTTCGACGAATGAATTACTACTATCGAGCATATGGCACTTCCAAGCAAATCGGTATTGTTGCGCGAAGGTATTGTTGGAACGCGAAAGTCTGGAAGGTACTCGGGTACACTTGGATATTGCATAAAAGGGGGAGGTACGGATTAAAACTAAACCCCGAAACGCATTGTTCAAACCATCGTCAAATATCTAATACAACTTGAATACTGAAACGTAGTTGCAATTTTACTCGGGCTTCTCTTTTTACTTGCAAATGCTCGGTACAACTTTCACCATAGTCAAACACTTGGAAAACGATTTTCCAACAAACCGCTTTCCACTCGCCGGCAGTTTACAATTTCTCTCGTAACTTTTCAATTTTCCCGGTGGACTCGCAATGCGAATCACGGAGGAAAGGTCTGCGCCGGCTGACCGCAGAACGACCCAGAATTCTAAACGCGAAAAATTGGAGTAGGAACGTTTCGAAATAAATCCGGAAATCTAGCTAGTTGCGCGTACATCGCCATATGGGTGAACGAGCCACCACCGACGATTTTCCATTGTGCTCGAGGACAATAATAAAAATAATCCCCCTCCGCGAGGGACGTTCTCGTCTCGCAGGCATTAGCGAGCTAATGAAACGTGAGTTGGAACCCAGTGTCTGGTGTCGCGTTTCCGGAAGACGAGAGGGGTTTACCTCGCAAACGGAAACGGCCGGAGGGGCGCAAGAAAGCGCGAAAGAGAGACGGTGAGAAGAGAAGACGCGATGGAAGGGAGAAACCCGATCAATTTATTTATTAAACGTTTTTCGTGCCTTTGTCGAGGGGGGGGCTGTCGCGTTCCCACGGGAAATACGAGGCGCTTAAAAGAGTGCTGGCTCGGTCTGCGAACGAATCCTACGCGAGAGGGAATCGCCAGGACGAGGTGAGGGTGGTAGAAGCGGGATCAGCGAGGAAGATTCCCTTAATGGAATCACGGACGATCCGGAGGAAAACAGGGCTCGTAACAACGGTCCCGCGATACTCTCGTGAATTTTCGGAACTCTCGAGTATTTCCGTGTCCTCGGCAACGGTATCCGGATGATGAAAAAGGAAGAAGAGAGGGGGGAGAAAAAGGACACTGGTTAGCCGGGCTTTCGAGAGGAGTAGTCGATTCTTCTCTCGAGGAAGGAGACAGCGGTTCGCCATTAGCGCAATCTAATCGGCAGGGTCCCTTAATAACAGGTTGGTCTCGACGTTCCGGCGAAGTAGAAGAAGAAAATGAGGAGGAGAAAAAAGAGGCGGGGACACCGCGGGCTGAAATTCATTCGGTTTCTCGGATACCTCTCCGCGTGCCGGAGAAGATCCTCTCTCTGTAATCTTACGGCTGAGCTCAATTAATGCTTAACGACAAAACCGCGAGAGACGGAGATGGAAAATGAGGCCTTAGGGCTGCCGCGTGGGACCCGGGTCTACAAGAAGAATGCGTCCCGCGCCGCCCGGTAGATACCGCTAATTGTGAAAGCATCCTCGAGCCGCAAAATTGCCGTGCACGCGCTTCAAGAATGCGCGACGAATTGCCAGCATGACGTTTCCTTCCTTCCTTCCTTCCTTCTTTTCATTCTTACCGAATACTCTGACTTTCCCATCCCACTGAACGACCAGCCTTTCTTCCGGGAAGTTGAAAGAGTCCTGCCCACTTGAAAGAAGACTTCTTTCTTCTGGGAGAACACCAAGGGATGAACATTTCAACGGTCAGAGCCTGTGGTTAGACAGAAGATCGATCTTGGTTATCCTTGGCTATCTTGGGAAATTTTGACTAGTGCAATGGTACCTCGAGAGACATTCAAAATGTATATTTCTGATAATAGCGAGATATAATTAGGAGCTGATAAGAGGATGAGTATTGGTACTAAACTAACGACACTTGGTCCAAAAATCCGTGTACCTTCAAATCTACTGGACGATTCGTCCCCCAAATCTCGCGGGATCCAAGTCTGTCATTATCCCGATAGCGAAGAGGTCCTCCGCGGAAGAGGGACAATCGATCCAAGCTGGAAATTGACGGAGGGAAACGTCTCGTTTCTGAATTACAGGCGACGCAAAAGTGGCGGGCGGAAAGATAGAGCATAGAGCTGTCCTTCCTCGAATCTCTGTTCGTTCGCGGATACACGGTCCTCGGAAAGGGGGAGTGAGAGATAGATAATTCGCCTGCTAGGCGGGATGCAATCTGGCAGATTGTGGGGCACCAAAATTGCCGGGTTAGGAGAGCGCTAGTGGACTCTCGACTGTTCACCCGCTTTCAGAAAACCGGCGCTCACCGGCGCGTCGTCCCATTAGAGGTCGAACGACAGACTCTCCCGCTTCGATGGTTGCTCGTGCACACGTTGGATACACGTCGAGTCACTGGTGAATAATGCTCGCACACAGACACGTGCAGTGGAAGGGTGTGCCTCTGCGAGACAAAGGGAAGGAGACTGGTTCCTTTTGTTTCTTCGAACGCGGGGGAACCGGGCTTCCTGCGAGGCGTACTCGCGACCGAACACCACTTCCTTGATCTTTAATGCTACTTTCCCTCTTTCTACTTTTCTCCCCCACGTTTGCGAGCTTTGAGGGATTAAAAAGCGCAGAAAAAGAGAGCGAAAGTGACGAGTGTAGAGACGTTGCTCTTTGCGACGTTATGGATGTTGGGATTGATTGTGTGCCATTTGAAACTTTGCTTTTCTTTTACATTTCTCTTTCGCCATCGAGTTATTTAAGGTGGCTCGGTTAAGATTGATCACGAATGGTTTGCAGAACGTTAGCGTGCAATTTGGCCGAAATTGCTACCGGACCACCAACTCGAATTATTTCGCGACGTTACGGTACCGTTTTAAATCCAATAACGAGGCGATAAATACCATCCGGACGAGATTGAATCCTCTCGAAAGGGAATGAAAAATAAAAAAGGTTCAGGTAAGCAACGTGTAGAGCGTGTGTTCCGCGTGCCGGCGAGGCGTTATCGAGCAGGGGGGCAATCGTAACTAACGAAACTCATTTAGCACGTTCCACTCGTCGAACAGTCTCATCGGTCCGTAATTAACATAATTAATATTCCGACGACGAGTGGCTCCCATCGTTGGGAAGCAGCCGCGGACCCTTTCGGTGGCGCAGCGTGTGGCTTTACCTGAAAATACCTGCACGAACATGGGCAACACGAAAAACGTGCAGCTCACGGAGCCGGAATACGTTGCGGACGCCCCCTGGAGCGAGTGGTCGTGATCGATAACGGCCACAAAAGATCGGATTAATAGACGGATGGGGTTGCCTCTCGTGAGCTTCGTCTGTTCTCTCGAGGATACTTCCACGAGGAAGAAAAGGAGGCAACGGACGGCTGGTGATGACCATTCAACTTTGTAACTCGTGAGCTTTCTACTGAGACGATGGTTGTTTAAATTTGGAAGAAAACTGCGATCGGTGTGAGACAACTAATCTTTAGAAATTTTAAAAAGAATATTAATATCTTT